ACTCTGCATACTGGTATATTAATTTGTGTTGATTTGTTAAACTTTATGGACAGGCAACCAAACAAGTAATCATATTGCAATACACATTCCATTACATTATAAGGCCAAGCATTTACAAATTCAGTATAGGGTAGTTTTCTCTTTTCTAGGACTAAAAAGTTCCTTTAACTTACAGGTTATCAAGGGTGTATATGTCGGCCATTTTTTTTACAGCATTAAAATCAACCTCAGACCATTTCCTCATGTGTTTCCTGCCAATGACCAATACACGGCCATTCCTGGCTCTTGAACATAACTTTTCCACAACCTGCTTCAACTAGAATGATAAAAAAAGCAACTAAATATTTTTCAGGATGTATATGAATAAAAAATCATATAGATCCAATAGAAATATATATGTCATAAGGAAATTTAACAAAATGGAAGTCATGCAAATAGGTAAGGCACTACCTCTTTCAAAAAAGTAAGAGGAAAATATATATATATATTTTTGTCACTCTTATCACTCTTACCATTACAGATCGCTGTCTAAGGGGTTTCTTTCCTGCAAGGTATGATGCATTAAGGCCATCAACTACTACAGAAAATGGTCCTCTTTCTTCTAGAAATTCTTGGAATTTGTGCCACTCTTCAGGGCTACTTGAACGAAATATATCTGAGCCATGAAGAACACGTGGCACGTATTCACTCTGTTAGGAAATACATGATAGATCAAAATAATCTAAGTAAATAAAGTAACAATTGTATATGAACTTGGTCTATATCATAAACAATTTAAATGAATCTAGTTGTTGGAAGATTGGTAAATATGATAAATAAAAGGAGTGGATCCACAATTATGTGTTGTTGCTTGAAGTGTATGCTTAAGCATTTCTGTTCTACTATGGTATGTGGCATTTGTGTAGCATCAGTACTTTTTTTTTTTTTTTGTACAAGTATGACCTCAGGTTTGACATCAAAGACTATGTCCAAGTTTACTTAATGTTTCAAATGAAGGGTTCCATCAAGTCCTTAGGTACTTATGTGTCTCTATTACCTAGACTTAGTATTGGTATTTCATAAAATGTAAACATTATGCTGTGTGTTTGTTAATCTTACTATTTTGTACAATATTCCAGTGTTCTTAAGCCATGTGCAGTTATGTGAATTCTAGACCCTAGGAAATCTAATGTATGGAATGCTCTGTACATATCATGATCAGTATGAGTTTCTAACTTGAGTCTATATCATCATCATCATTAGGGGGCTAACGCCAACGTGGGTGCATAGCCACATCCACCCTTTGTTTTCACCTTTTGGGGCCCTTCATGGCAAGCCGCCAGGCAGGGACTCGGCCCATCTCGAGCTGTTCACGAGAGGTTTGATCGATCTGCCCAAGCCACGACTTCCTAGGTCATCCCACAGGCCTCCTCCACCCAGGGTTGTCTCTTGCAGAGACAACCTGATGGGCAGGATCATCCTGCGGGAAACGAGCCAGGTGCCTGTCTCATGGTGCAGCCGTTGGTTGGACACATGGTCCCGCCAACAGTACCCCATGATCTGGTGCAAGGACCTATTACAGAAGGCATCAAGACATGACTTCAAGGCACAGGATAATGTCCAGGTTTCACTATCGTATAGCAAAACTGGCATTATCAGGGCCTTGAAAACCTGTAGTGTGGTCCTTCTGCACAGGTACCGGCATCTCCAAATACTCTTGTTGAAAGAGTTCATGACCTCTGCTGCAAGGCCAATCCATCTGCTGACTTCATGGTCTGACAGCCCAGAGTTATGAACTACACTACCAAGGTATGTAAAGCTCTCTTTGACTTCAATGCCTTCGCTGCAAGCACATACCGACCGAACAGGTTCTCCTAGCAAGTCCCCAAAGTCCTGGATCTTGGTCTTAGTCCAGGAGACCTCTGGATGCATTACTAAATGCATCCAGAGCCACCACTAAAGTTTCCAAAGACTCATAGAATAGCAACATCATCGGCAAAGTCAAGGTCTGTAACCTTGATACTGGCCGGAGTTGCTCCACAATGACTTTGAACAGTAGCTCTGACTAGTATCCAGTCCATGCAAGTATTGAAAAGTGTTGGTGCAAGGACACAGCCTTGCCTCACTCCTGAGCTAACAGGAAAGAAGATTGACAGGCCCCCACTACACTTTACAGCACTTTCAGTACCAGTATACAGACATGCTATTAGTCAAATAATCCTTTTTGGAATTCTTCTCAGACTCATGATCTCCCAAAATGATTCCCAATGCCCCATATCGAACGGCTTCTTGAGGTTGATGTAGGCTACAAGCAGCCCACACCCAAACTGATGACGGTGCTCTACAATGACTCGAAGTGCAAGGATATGGTCTATTTAGGACTTACCAGAAGTGAATCCAGATTGCTCTGGCCTTTGATGCCTCAGTATGTGGTCTCTGATACGTCTCAGAAGATTGTGGGCAAGAACCTTGCCTGGTATACGGAGCAGTGTGATGCCTCGGTGATTGCTGCAGTCCCACCGGTCCCCCTTCCCCTTCCAGAGAAGGATAACCACACCCCTCAACAGGTCAGGGGGAATGGTACCGGACCGCCAGATGGCAGACAGGACATCATGCAACCCTCGCGCCATAGGTTCACCACCAGCCTTTAACAGTTCAGCTGGGATGCCGTAAATACCCGCTGCTTTGCTTGGGGACTGCACCCCATAACTTCAGTCAGGGAGGGTGGATCCTAATTGATGGGTGGGTTAGGCAACCGAATCACGGCTCTACCCGCCATCAAGTTAACTGTTGGTGGATCAACCTGGTACAACTACTCAAAATACTCAGCCCAACACTCCCCCACTGCAACAGGATCTGAGACGATCTGATCACTTGCTAAGCGAACCACTGTCACATGAGAAGAGGGCTTGGAGGTCAGCTTTTTCAGGGCTTCGTATGCCTGTAGAAGGTCATTAATAAGAAATGGTCTTTGACTTCCTCAGCAAGCCTCCTAATAAACTGTTCCTTGTCCCTTCTTAACAGAGATCGAGTTCTATGCTCCTGAAAACAGTGCAAATCCCAATCCCCTGTCAGACGAGTCGCACGGCAAGCGTTTGTGGCTTCCAGTGTCTCCTGTCCTCAGGCGTTCACCAATTGACTCTTGGGCTGCATCAAACGTCTCGTGCTTGAAGGTATCCCACAGAAGTACAGGGTTCGTCAGACTGTCGAGCCAGAGGCAGGTCTTCCATGGCGGCACAGGGAGGCCTCTGCCCCCCCTACAATTTGATTGGCCACCCCATGTGCCCCCCCCCACCCAAGAGTCATTGACCCTTTATATATTAATATATATTTATATATAATATTTATACATAAATATATAATAGTAACATATAATGATATATAATACTCACACAGCAAGATGAAAATATAAACGATGTGTAACTGTACAATATAAATATTGAAGTGGGCAGTCTTAATCTTTGTTTCTTTTGGGCGGCCCCCCACATTTATTGTTGTTACCCCGTGTGCCCCCCACCAGGAAATTCTCTGCACCTGCCCCTGTATTGAGCGCTCTGAAACGACTAGCGTTTGCTTCAGCAAACGCCTGAGCACACTCCTCTTTCAGCCTGTCCAAATGAAACACCCTAGGGTGAACCTTGGACCGCTGAGGAGTTTTGAAGTGAACCCGGAGGGTAGTCACACCCAATCTATGGTCAGTACCACAAAACTCGGCACTCCTATACATCCTGCAGTTCTGGAGGATCCTCCAATAAGTGCTAACGAGTATGTGGTCGATCTCCTTGGCTGCATTACCCGCATCGCTGTACCATGTCCAACGATGTGGGTCTGGGTGCTGTTACCAGGAGCCAGAAATCCTCAATTTCTGGGACCTTGCAAAGTCCCGCAAAAGGAGGCTATTCTCACAATCAGCTCCTGAATCAAGAGGACCAACAGACATCTCATAGCCAGCTCGATCACAGCCAGATACCACAATGAAGTCACCCTGGACAATATGAATATCTCACCAAGGACAGCTGTCTGCCACAGATACAAGTTTGGCGTAGAACATCTCTTTCATGTTGAGTTTACAAACATCGGTAGGACTGTACACAAGAATAAGAGACATGAAGCCAAATACTAGCTTCAGTCTCAATACCATTAAATGCTCATCGACTGGAGTAATCTCTACAACCGAGGGCTGGAGCCTACTGGAGATAGCTATGGCTACTCCTTGAAGATAGTGACCATCACTACGGCCTTCATTCCAGGCTAGTGGCTGCCAAACACAGGTGCCAACTAATAGATATGGCAAATGGATGTGGTTGTTCTTGTAGTTTAGATATATTGGTGACCACTGACATACTGGTCAAATCAACCAGACTAACAGAAATATATAAACACTTAAATCAAACACCCAAACGCACACATGCATGCATACACTAACATAGATGCATATACCAGTCTCACTCCCATACCCACACACATCATCATAAAAGAGTTTGAAATAATCACCTGCAACTCTTTAAATTCTGCTTCACTTATGTCGAGCTGATGTAACTGCTGGTTGCAGGCAGGGCATCTTCCACTTCAAATATAATTTCATTTGGAATTATCATTCAAATCAATAATCATTCTATATATCTAAACACAGAGTAAGGCAATATCACACACACACAAAAGAAAATGAAAATATGCTGACCTTTTCGGGATTTTCACATACAAGTATGACCATCCCAGTCCCTTACTAAAAAGGTTAGCAATACTCTCAATAACTGGGACTTTGGGGAAGATCTCATAGTGAATCAGCTTGTCTAATAATGTCTCCATCATTGACTGCTTTTCCTCAACATCCTCTGCCTTTTCACACTGGGTAACCCACTCTAAAAATGCAGAATCACCAGGTATCTGAAAAAATTACTATTACTAAAAAAGACATGCAATTACACAGTATATATAAAAATACTCGCATAACATCAACAAAGATTTTTTTTCTTTTTTTTTATTGCTTCAATCAGCCATAAATCAGTGATGAAATTAAT